TCACCGTTCTAACATTCATTTATCATTCTCATTGTTGGACCCACCATCATTTTCTGATTTATCATTATTTTGGTGATCGCTATCATTAGAAGGACTAGAATTGCCTGTAAATCCACCCTTTCCATTACCACCACCACTTCCTTTAACCCAAACCTCAACAACTTTCTTAACATTATCTTGCACCATATGCACAGCATCCATACGTTGTACACTTTCATAAAATTTTTTGAAAAATGCTGCTTGTGTACCATCACTCCAAGATTCGATATATCTTTTACCCAATTGATAACCTGGTGTGAATGCTCGTTTTATGATACGGTTTGCTAATGTTTTTTTTTTTTTATATAATAATAATAATATTATTATTAGAATATCAATATCCTTTTTTTTTTCCTAATATAGAAAAAATCTGACTTACTTTCGGTTTTAGTCCTTTCAAATTTTTCCCCTAAATCAATTTCATATTCTTCTCTAATGGTTTATTGAATGTCAATTTCTGTAATTTCAATCATTTCAATAATGCTTCATTGACACTTACGGTTTGACTTGTGGCCATGATGTTCGATTTAGAAGTTCATCATTTTTCATATCTTTATAAAGATAAAAAAAAATAATCAATATTTTTATATCATTAAAAAAATCCAATTACCGAAAAAAATGTATTATACTTACTTTCCGTATGTTTATGACATCCTTCCAATCCTTTAATATAATAAATGAAATATCCATCCAAAAAATTTCTAGGTCCAGCTTGGGAATACTTTACACCCTCTTGTTCATCATCACCTTCTTTTCCATACAACACTTGAGCAACATTTTCAGTTTGATTAATTCTATCGTGTTCTTTGTGTACAACAAGTTTTTTTTTAAAAAATTCCTCTTTCATATTGTTATTAATTTTTCTGAAGCAAACCATTTTACAATTTGGGTTTATTCCATGTTCTCGACTTTTATCCTGTTGCTTGCACCACTGAAAACAAATTTCATCCCATTTTGGTGTCAGATCTTCGGTAGATCTGGTTGAATCATTTGAAGTTGGAAATGTTGAAAGGTTTGTTACGGGGTTAATATAGATATTATGAAGGTTTTTGGGAAAAACGAAGGGCGGTACTGGAGGTGATTGAGGTGGATCTACTGGTTTTGTGCTTTTATCAGTATCGTTAGTGTTGGGATCGGTCGTAGGTCGTGTTGCATGTCCCTCGTCGACGACTGGCTCAGAAGGCGGTGTACCTGCATGAATAGGTGTTTCGTTAGAAGGTGGCATTTTATTCATTGAAATGAATTTTTGAAAACTAAGGTTTATTATCGTTATACATTATCGTTATCCAATAATGACAGCAAAACGTCACCGATAAGATAAAACAAAAAATTACTGTACACTGTATATTTTTGGATCAGTATATCAATTTTTGAGTTCATAGGTTAATGAGTGATTGAAAGTCCCGATTGGTTAGTTCAATGAACATGTTACTAGACAGGGTTGTCCAAAATTTTATATTTAAATATACTGCCTAAATTAAACAATTCAGGCGGCTATTAAGTAATTATATATTATATAATTGGCTCTAAGTATTGTTAAGTATTGTTCCGAACCAAATAGAAAATTAATCAACGTAAATTAGCAAGGTCAAGAAAAAGTTGGAGGCAAGTTCCGGTCTACTCTGAAGACGGCTTTCTAGTTTAAAGCTCCTTACTGTAATTTTTACTGAGAATAAAACAGCGTTGTGAATAGGGTTAGGGTTAGGGCAACAGAGTTTCTGTTAGTAAAATTTCACGAGGAGCATTTTAATTAGGTCACAGAAGGTGGTTAATTAAAATTTTGAGTTATTTCTGTTGCACCTGATCTTGAAATTTGATTGACGAACTATTTTTGCCGTTGACGAATTGACGAAACCATAAGGTCCGTCATTGCGAAATGACGAAAATATATGTCATCAGGTCATGTGAGCATCGCTATTCCTGATTCGGCCAATATCTGGATTAACACGCGTATACATAGAGCGCTTTCAAGCAAAAATTTCGGTCCTTCCCTGAGTAGATATCCATTGTCTCATGGATAAGGATTGGAATCGGTTTAGTCGACTAAAAAAATTTTATAGTAAGCTACTATGTTTAGTCGAGTAATTAGTCGACTAAACATAGTAGTCGACTAAACCGATTCCAATCCCTACTCATGGATTACTCATAGCTCATCTCATGCTGCGCAGAAAACAATTAGAACAATTATAATATGCAGGGTATCAATACATATTGATGCCAGGCAATTTCACACAATCCTTTTTTTTTTTTTGTTTAGTTTTTTAGGCGTAGAAAAATTTGTTTTTGCACAGCCAATATTAGAAAAAAGATTATTCTTTCGTTATTTAACAAAATTTTGTTTAGAAGATTGAAAAAAAGGATTAGCGCGAGAAATTGCCTGGCATCGATATGTATTGATACCCTACATATTATAATTGTTCTAATTGTTTTCTGCACAGCACGAGATGAACCATGAAACACTCATGAGCAATCCATGAGACGCACTACCAACAATAGTCAAACAATGGATATCTGCTCAGGGGAAGGACCGAAATTTTTGCTTGAAAGCGCCTATGATTTCAAATTCGATATTATTAAGGGCGTTCTCAAGCACCCACCTTAATGAATTCAATAAAAAATCTGATTGGCTAGTTTGATTAAACTGACCAATCAGATTCATTATTGAGTCCACTGAGGTAGGTGCTTGAGAACACCCTAAATCTATCCAATAAATTTTATTGGACAATTGGGCATGTCCAATTGACACAATTGAACATATGTCCGGCCGGACATTGTCCAATGTCTAGGGTCCAAAAAATTATTGGACAAATTGGACATAGTCCAAATAAATTTAATTGGTTATTTGAACGATTTTACGCTTTTACATTGCCCAATACCACCCTGAGTGTTGGCCAATGATCTAAGTTATTCTATTTTTTTTTAATATGACCAAAGGTCATATCATATAATCGTATAACTTGATCATAAGTCATAAGTCATATTGGTCATATTGCTATACTGTATATCGCTATTAAAAATTTTTTTTACTATAATTCTTACTATACTAAATAATTATTCTTTTGGATGAGATAAAAATGCATCCTTAAGATCCTTAAGTAGATTATGAACCTTTTTACATGTGTGAAGATGGACTAAAACCCAAAACTCAAACCATTATATGGTGCAGGACATTAATCACGTCAAAGCGCTGAAATTTGAAATATATATATATGATTATACATGAGAGCGCTAAATTTCAAAATTTTATATAATAGTCAATAGTGCTGAAATTTTTAAGAGAGCAAATAAAATAAGAAAAAAACTAATCATACACGGGGTGTTTGAAACCCGGATATAATTTTTATACAAATTAAAATAATTTATCTTAAAGACGATTTCTATTTGTACACTAGGTATAGTCATAATCCAAAATTTTGCTTACAAAACCACTTTGGGATTCTAACAAAAAATAATCTACGCAAAATTTTAGTACAAAATACTCTCTAACAGTGTATAAAATTAATGTGCTCAGTGCACATGTTTTTTCAGCTTTACATTTTATACACTGCTCTCTAACTCTAACCTCTAGCCCTAACCCTAACCCTAATATTGTATTTTATATATACACGGATTGTAAATCAATTAATTAATACCCGTGTTTCATACACTGGTGTAGATTTAGAAATTTTCATTATAAAAAACTTTTTAATAATTTTAGAGTTAGGGTGCAATTTTAAAACGGAGGATTTTTTATATAACATAGCGTATATTAGATATTAGGGTCATAAACATTTTTACTTAGAGTACTCGATCCTGTTTACTTAGTACGTTTTTGAGGTATAGCACCCTGGTAAATTTCACCTCCGGTGAGTGTTAAAATACTCCAATTTTTTATTTTATTTTATTTTATTAATTTGTATAAAAATTATACCCGGGCTTCAAACACCCCGTGTATGATTAGTTTTTTTCTTTTTGAAAAAACTTTCTAGATTTATATTCTTTAGGTTTTAAGCAATATAATTATAGAAAGATTTTTTTCTAAACCCATTTTTTGTTATTACAAACAATTATTTTTTGATGTGATTAGATATTCTGCCCATACCATTTTGAATATAGCATTTTACATCTTCTAAAAAACAAAATTAATTTAATTATTTCATAATAATTATAACTCTAATTATAACTCCTCTACATAAAGAAAAAAAATTATTACCTTTAATTCTATAGTAAAATCGGCAACGAAGGTCATCTAGTTTACTATTGATACGTATACAGTTGTCTCTTACTGGGGTGGACTTGTCCGTCGATCGTTAACAAAATTATTTCCTTTTTTTGATTTGTAAATAAGTAAAATCTTTCAATCTACATCAATTGTGTAAAAAATCATCAGGTAGTTCCTTGCTAAATCCTTGTGATACTAAAATTATAGAAATTCTACATTGGTATATCTAAATTAGTCAACTGACGAAGATCTACATCGTTACAAACTACTAGCCGATTTCTAGTCAATTTTTTAGCATGAAATATGTTATAGAAGAGAATCAATTCTAGCACTTCTTTATCGACCGGCCAGGCCTACAATGACGCAGGCTGAGGTCGACCCATCTATCGACCTGCAGTTGGAGCACTAAAATCCAGAAGGCCAAGTAATTTATAAATTACGAAAATAGTAGGTATGCAGTCTGCAAGCACTCTCTCTTGGCAGCATGCATTTCATGTCACAAAACAGGAATCGGAAGCGTAATAAACCAATAATAAGATCAAGCCATTTATATAAATAAAAATCAATCCCTCAAACTATCATGTGATAAAACTTGCTTTTTGACGTTAATTACAATTTTATGCATAAATATTACTGCCACGCGGATAATCGTACTACCAAAAAAAATAAAAAGTATAAAAACGACATTAAGGCATTTTTTTGTTATCAAATTAATTGCTCACTTTTTTTTCTTCATTCCTGTATTAATTATTATACTTAAATGTCTGAAATTCAGCCTTTACAAGTAAAGAGTGGAAATACCAACGTAACTCTCTCTTTAAAAGATGATAATTTTTCGATTGGTATGAACAGCTTAAAAAATTGCGTAAAACTAATATGCCAAATGAAAAAAATTACTTACTTTATTTTTTATTAAATGAACATACAAAACGATTTCTTCCTTCTATAAAAGCTTACAGTAATTGTTGTAAATATCTTGATTCTCTTTTTTTTCCTTAGTTTTATCTTGTTTAAAATTATAAAATTTTTAAAATTTGACAGTGAAATGTGGTAAACTGATCAGCATTCCATCCCGAAACATTCTCGACATTTCCTTAAAAACGGTAGAATCATCGACTTCCACTAACGTTATTATTCATGCTCTCATCGGAGTTAAGAAGTTATGTTTGAAAAGTTTTGAATTTGTTCCAGTAGATATGGAACTTGCTGCTTCGTGGACAAAATCGGTTAAAAATGCCGCATATAAAAGTATTTTAATTTTTAAATTCTTAGATAATTTGTATTTATTTTAAAAATTACAAATAAACTAAATGATCTTCCTTCATGACAGATGCGAAGCCCTCGAAGCATTTAAAAATATTTATTAATCCTTTTAGCGGCACATGCAAAGCAAGCAAAGTTTTTGATAGTGAAGTTAAACCTATATTTGACGCTGCTGGTTGCACGTATGATATCACAAGTAAGTATTTCATACTACTAAATTTTATGAATAAACTTACTATATAATCTCAATTTCATATTATAGTTACTGAGAAAATAAATCACGCAAGAGAAATCATGCAAACAATTGACTTGAAACCTTTTGATGTCATTGTCGGAATTAGCGGAGATGGAATTATTCATGAAATCATAAATGGGCTTTTAGAGCGTGAAAATATAAATGATGCAACAATTCCAATTGGTGTAATTCCTGCAGGTAACGTGTTGAATGTTAAATTGAATAATTTTAATAAAAATTAATTATTATCGTTATTTTAGGTTCTGGAAATGCTTTAAACATTTGTTTACAAGGAGAAGCTGTCTATAAAAGCCTTCAACATTCTGCTCTTACCATAATTAAGGGTAAAAGATTAATTTTTAATTATTTAAATTTGTTTTTATATTTTGTTTATTTCTCTTTAATTAATAATTTTATTCACAGGTGTGCCTATGAAAATTGACATGTGTTCTATTACCCAAGGTGATAAACGCTACTTTTCTTTTATGTCTCAAACTTTTGGCGTTATTGCAGATTGTGACTTGGGAACAGAAAATCTAAGGTAAGTACCCAATTAATAATTAAGTAATTTATTTTACTATATTTAAATGGTTATATCATTATATAGATGGATGGGTAGTATGCGTTTTATATTTGGTGCTCTAAAAGCCATCTTTGAAGGTCGTCGATACAGCTGTGAACTTGCCATGAAAATTGCAGAATCTAATAAAGAAATTATTAGAGATACATATAGAAAAGAATATAATTCAAATAGTCAGAGTGTTCCAATGTCCCGCGATAATAGATATGGTACCGTAAACGATCCAATTCCAGATGATTGGACTATTATTACCGATGATGTATCTACAATTCTTGGTGGTAAAGTTCCATGGATAGGTAAAGGCACTATTCCGTTTCCTTGTGCTTTACCAAACGATGGACTTATAGATTTGTTAGTTGCTCGACGGGATAAACTGTCATCAAGAATTAAATCAATCAACTTTATGACTGAAATGGAACTTGGAAATCATATTAAGATGAAAGAAGTAAATTTCTGATATCCAATTTTTATTAACATTTTGATGACTATATTATGATTTAAATTAAAGTTTATTATCTTTTTTTAGATTGATTATTACAAGGTTGAAGCTTTCAGATTAACTCCAAAAAACAGTACGGATGGATATATAAGCATAGATGGTGAAAAAGTAGATTTTGCTCCTTTTCAAGTTGAAGCTCTTCCACAATTAATAAATATTCTTAGTATTGATGGAAAATATCAATATGTTAATATTTAAACATTAATGTTTTATATAATACAGTATTAATATGAGAATTTGTTATACAGTGACCTTGCATTTAGTACACCCCTACTATATCTCAAAATTTTTACCAGAATAACTCTGTTGTATAACTAAGAAAAAAAGCGCACCTCTCGCAATTTTACCCTAACCTTAACCTAGCCTTTATCTTTATTCTAATATTATACTTGGCTATTAAAACATAGAGATGCACTTGTGCACGGATGCATTACTTATTTTCAAATCCTCTAATTAAATATTGATATATTAAACATGAATATTTTATAATATTATTAAAGATTTATGTTCATTATTGTCACACGTTGATCGGCCAATCAAACCAAGTTTCAAAAAGATACCCCATGCTTTATATCATATCTTTAATCAACAAACCACTCATAACCATTGCTACTTACAGGGATACAGTATATATATATAATAGATGTTTCACGGGCTGTTGTGAATATGATGGATTCATGACACATCTTTTATATCTCACGGTTCTTATGCCCGATTAAAATTTTTACTGATGACATCATGACCGTGAAAAAATTTTTGTTCACGGCATTACGTAATCATAAAAATGACAAGGTTGCAAATTAGTAAAATCCGTAGCACGGATTTCACATTAACCATAGCTGCCGCAACAAAATTGTCACGGCAGATTCTCGATTTTGATTGCTAAGAGCGACGATCAAAAAATTAGGCCGGAATTATTCGGAATTTTACTAATGAAACCACAGCCGCCTATTAAGTGAAAGTTGTTCCTGGGCCAATTTTACTGTAATGTGGGCTTATTTTTTAAAATTTCTATCTTTGTAAAGAAAAAATTAAAAAGTTAATTCTGGCCAGAAATTAGTGAACAATTATCTAATGCGGGCCAAAATTTTGAAGATCCTCGGCCGTTAGCCAATCAAAATAGAGGATCTGACGTGACAATTTCACCGTCAAGATAAAAAAAAGCTTTAATTAAACTTTGAGCAAAGACATTTTGATAACCACCTAACCAAATTCGATGAATTGTTTTTTTTATTTGAATCCTAGAACTCAAATAAAAAAAAAAAACATCGAATTTGGTCAGGTGGTTGTCGAGATACCTTTGCTCAAAGTTTTAGAAAAATCATATTTAAATAGAAGCTTCGCCAATTTTTTTAAAAAAAACTTTGATAAAAATTTTTTTATTTGAATTCCATGAATCTGTAGAATTCAGATTAAAAATCGAATTTGGTCAGGTAGTTGCCGAAATATAGTTCAAATTTTAAAAAAATTTGGTACAGCTTCAGATAGGCGTTCTAATTTTTCTAAAACTTTGAGCTTAATAACCGCCTAACCAAATTTAATGAAAATTTTTTATTTGAATTCTGTAGATATATAGAATTTAAATGAATAAAAAATTCATCAAATTTGGTTATGTGGTTGTTGAGATATTTTTGCCCAATGTTTTAAAAACTTTTATACAGCTTCTATTCATTATTCAACAACCATCTGATCAAATTTAATAAATTTTTTTTTACTTGAATTCTATGAATTCATAGATCAAAAAAAAAAAAAAAAGTTCATTGAATTTGGTCAGGTGGTTGTCAAGATAACTTTGTTCAAACTTTTAAAAAATTTTTGGCACAGCTATTCAGATCATTTTGATTGGCTAACGGCCATGATCTGCAAAATTTTTGGCTCGTATTACAAATTGTTTACTAATTTCTAGCTGGAATTAGCTTTTTAAATTTTTTATATTAATGAGCAAAAATTATTCTGCAAATTTTGTCAACATGTTGTAGATTATATAAGAAAATCTACAATAAACTCTTATTTAAAAACAAAAATAATATTAATAAAGCCAAAATTAAAATCAAATTACCAAACAACTATTAATATAGCCAATATTAATAGAAGCTTATTAATGTTGCTTTAGTAAATGTATTTACTAAAGCTAATATTCTTTTATATAAAATTAATAAGCTTTAAAAACTTTTTTTTCAAATACTGTAAAAAGGATAAATTATTTAATTTATTACTGTATATTTTATTTAATAAAAATTAATAATATATTAATTTTGTTTTAGATAGTACTATTATAAGTTCAAATTAACTTTATATTAAATATTTACTAAAAGTATTTGATATTGAAGTTTTAAAATTACAAAATTTTGTAAAAAATAAATAAATTTTTATTACTATAGATATATATTATAAAGTTATTATTTATTTGTTTAGTTTTAATAATCAAACTAAACTTGCTAAAACAAAATTATTATTATTATTGTAGATAGTATTTTTTTTTTTTAAATTTTTGACAGTCTTGCCAGTGCTTAATTTATTGGGACTATATTTCAGGTAAGAGCTAAGCTCTCTCGAACAATACATATATTATTCATAACCAAAAAACAGGTAGTCTCATGATTGTGAGTCTGACATCACTTGGCTGCGATAAACGTGCCCAACTGCGACTTGTCGCACCAACCTGTATACAAGTTAGATAAACTTTGTCAGCCTGTCA